CGGATTCACCTCCAAGTAGGGTATACATGTACATACTGTGTATGTACTAAAAGTTATGTTACTGTATATACTCATAGAAGCCTGTGCTACTATTTTTCAATCTCTCATTAGTGGACTGGCTTCTATTTGAGGATGAGGGATCTTTTAGACTTGATGTAGGCTTACATGTACATGCATTTCTTATAGCCTCTAGGCTCCTAATTGAGACAAATAGGCTTTCATTTGAAAGAAAGAGAGAGAGGCTACTAAACAATATAATACATAATAATATAAGTATAATTATAAATGATGCACACACACACACACACACACACACACATACATGTACAATAGACAAATGGATCTTACTAGTACGGCCAATATAAGATGATTTAAAGCAATCAGTAGTTCAGTACATCATAGACTATAACCAATAGGATATGCTTCAAGATTGAACATGTCATGCTTTGATTGTGAAACCTCTACAAGATGTACGTGTATTGAATCTCATGGTGTCCCAAAAGTTTCATCATTTAAAGGTAATAATACTTTGTTATTATTTATAGTTGAAGTTTATCTTCAGGGAGGGAGCAAACAAGGAACTGATATATACACAATCACTATTAATGAATGACACTTTTAAACTGAAAGGAAATGAACCAATCACTCAAAATACACATGTGTACATGTGTTGTGAAAGTAGAAACACCTTTATTAGTGGGTAGGGTCTATAACTTATCAACCACACCCACTGTGGCGCTATACAGGAAATCACATGTACGTGTGTATATAATTATCATAATAATGTGTTAAACTGAAACTCATTGTTTAAGGATAAGTATGTGTGTGAATGTGACCTTGATAATGGGAATAACGTCATTTGGCTGCCAATAAGAGAATGATGGCTACGTCTGTAAAAATAGCCTCATTATTTCAAAGACAGCATATTTCTAGTAAGCAATTAAAAGCATGTCGCCATTTCATAGTAACCGACACACAAACACAAACAAACTGGACTTTTCCCACACTACATGAAGATACATATTGTATACATGGACTAACATGAACTGTACATGTATAGAATTGCAGTCTGTGATTCTTTATCTCAATTGCCACTTTTCACTTCCCATTCTATCATGATCAATCGTACATGTACATGACAGTATCTTTATTTTTGCTAATGTGAATCTTCCCCCCCTCTCTCTTTCATACTATTCACTTTCTCTATATCCCAACTCTCTCTCTCTCTCTCTTTCTCCCCCTCTCTCTCCCTCCCTCTCCCTCCCTCCCTCCCTTCCCCACTCACCATTCCTCTAAGTGTAGGATCAGCAAGAGGGGACCGGTTCCCATGATGGTCAGGGAGGACATGATAATGAGCAGTTAAGTGGGAGAGGGAGGGTAGTCCTTTCTGATGAGAGAGGGAGGTTAGCCTTGATTCTATCAGTTGGTGTACTGAAGTGATTCTGTATAAGGAAATACGAGTCATGTTAATGAACTTAGAGTATACAATAGATGCAGTAGAAATAAGGATGACTGAGAAATGGAGTGCTAGGATACAGAGAAACAATGAGAGAGGGGAATTTAGAGAGAGAGGAAGAGAAAGACAGAGAGAAGAGAGAGATAGAAAGAGAGAGAGAGAGTAATAAGGAAACAGAAACTTCAATATTATAATCATCAACTAAGACCATGTGTATACACAATAATTGCACTTTGTAACTATATACATAATAACATATGTGTAGGTGACCTGAACTTTTCATAAGATAACAAGGTCAATCACATGCTTCAATAGCAACACCAACACTAAGAGTGTATACTTGTAGCTGGAGGCAGTTATGCCCCGAGGGGGTGAGTGGCCTCCACAAAAATGAATTAATACAAAAGGAAGTTTACATGTACCAAGACTGATGGGTACACCACATCTGCCTACTAATTGCTATTTTAATACACAGTACAGTGTATTTATAATGTACATGTACATATACACAGTATAGGGGGAGGTTGTGTGTGTGTGTGTGTGTGTGTGTGTCAGTTAAAAAACAAATGAGAGTAAAAGTGAATGGTTGTGTCTATAGGTCACTATAATGATGTACGTGTGCATCAAAGCAATCACAAAGTTCAGATATGTGAAATAAACAATACTGGTCATAAACAAGTGTTTCATAATTACTCCTGTCATTGTAGGCTTAAATCATGCTTGTACATGTACATGTATGTACGCCAGGGTTTAATTTCCACATAATTTTGATATAGTACTCAGATTTTTCCAGCTCATGAGGTGTGGGGTCTAGCTTACTCAGTAGGGCTTTATAGAAAACCTTACTCCATGGTACTTTGTCAAAAATGGCTACGAGAGAATTCTCCATTTTTATAATTTTTTCTGATACATATACATGTTCTTATGTTGTGTAGCAAGTTTGAGCTGATTTCAATTAAAATTGAATTTTTAAAGAATTTTAAAAGTTACTCAAAAAGCCACACACTATTGCAGTCCTTATACAAATAGCATATTTCATAATACAAATATACATGTAACTATAAAGTACAAGTATTACAGTTATTTGATCAATGAATGTAAGGAATTAATGCAATTAATATCAACTATGACATGCTCCATTAATAAAACAATGATAAAATCACCCTTTGACAATCAACAAACATCACAACATTCAATCATTCAATATTAGTCTAATATATCATACCAATAATATCATCTATCAACACATCATCAAAAATACATGTGAGAATACCAGAAAATGAGGTAGTGCAAATGAATTGGTTTATACATAAAGATATTCATGCACAATTAATTAAGGCATCATTTCAAATCCACATGTATAATCGTACATGCACATGTACATGTACATGCACAACAGAAGAGTAGTAGCTATACAGTAGTATACTTTAAAATACATGTACATTTACATGTCCATAGCTCTTACCCAAAAAATAATAATCTACAATTTGGAGAGAATAATTATTTATTTATATAAGGCAGTGGAGAATAACACTGTGACCTGGCTTATGACGCATGTACATGTTCTAGGAAGAGGAAAATGGAGTCCTTCAATATGATGATAAAGAGAGAGAGAGAGAGAAGGAAAAAGAAATTGAGAAGCATAAGAATCAGAAACATCCAAAGTATACAACACCAACCTTCAACAGGATGTGCAATCTCATTCTACAAAAGACACCCTCTACCTCTCACCCTCACTCTCTCCAGATCAAGGCATCATTATGACCAAATTTGGTAATAGATACTATCAGTGACATGTATGGGCAAAAGCTGATTGAGTAGGAGTGAACACACATACACACACACACACACAAACATGGCTTGTACATACTATACTACATAGCTATAGTTCACATGGCTACTGTATAAAATATGATTTCACATGACAGAAGCCCTAACATGTGTATGTGTGCCTTCAGGAATTATCCTTATAAGATCCAGAGTCCAAGATGACTGGAGATATAACAAATGATGGCAGACTAAAGGAATGCAGTGATAGTGTGGTTATGTATTGGTGGCCGGGGAGCAATGGGAAGGGAACTTAGTGTCTATTTACATATGAAATATGAATAAATGATGATGTGAGTTCATAATTATGAACATGTACATGTATGTACATGTATGTACATGCGTGTATGCCTGTATATGTAACAGGTATTATCTATAAGGGACAGTAAGTTGAGAGGAAGTGAGAGAGAAGAGATAAACAGCTTAGTACAAGGAAATTAATAAACACTAAGATACATGTAAAACAATAACAACTTAGTGCAGATTCTATGAGTACATAAATATGTACATGTAAATCTTATAATAATGAATATATACAGTGTATATATATGCATTTGTGTCTGAGTTAAAAATTGACAGTTAAATATAATACACAGAACATACAGTACACAGCAACCATGCATTCATAAATGTACATGTATAAGATACTCCACTTCATGAGGGCACCTTGTAACGTTTCTAATTGATACAAGAATTAGGACAAGCCTATATATTACAAAAGTAGCTCTGAAATGAAGACACATCTGCTTAAAGGACAAGTAGTGAGGGGGCTAAATATGAAGAGGTCACAAATTGGATTATTAAGGACAAATAGTGAGGTACATACATGTACATGCATGTATACACACAGCATCTGCAGATATATGTACTCTTAATACACAATCAATCCAGCTTGAGGGAGTATACTGTATAGAGTACCTTATTGACCAATGGATACATATAGTGGTACTGGGTGGTATAGTATAGATACAAGTCTTAATTCAATTAAAGTATAAATCCAGTGTAACCAAAAGCTTTACAAGTGAAGGGGCTAGAAGCCACTTTACTGAGAACAGGATCAAATTACAATCATTGGGCAAAGCAGAAGAACCAGCATATATTACTACACAATTCAATACTATATAATACAATGAGGAATGATAGTGTACGCGCGTGTGTAGAGGGAATCTATGTCACATGCAACGTACGTGAGGTAAAAATCGTCTAATTAAGTAAAGGGATAATTACAGCATGCACGTATTTCCTGGAATAGAATCTCAAATTACACGAGTAAAACAAAACGAAACAATAAGGTAAAGAGTACATAATGATAATAGCCAATTAGTCATACAAGTGACGCATATACATGTACATGTACATACCCTGCAGATACATTGTACATCAGTGTAGAATAGAATCTCAAATTACAAGAGTAAAACAAAGCACAGTAAATGAAACAATAATGTAAAGAAAAGCATAATGCATATATATATAGGCATAAAAGTGATGCATATACATGTACATGTACATGTACATACATTGTACATCAGTGTAGAATAGATAGCATTCTTCATAGTGTTTATTATTTTAAAGAAAAGGCGAGTAAATGAGTATCAATTATTGCCAATGGATAAGCAATTATCAAGTAATACCACAGACACACACACACACAGACACAGATGCACCAGTCAGTAGTACACATACATTATAGACTATACATGATGTAGTAGAGTATACTTATTATTGTAGCTAAATTTGTTTTGTGATTTAAAGGAATTTATCACGCTCTGTTCTCCAGTGTAACACTAGTACCCAGTAATCACGCTTTAGCCTGAATCAACTTCAGAGAAAAGTGTAGGCTGTACTCCAGTAGATATGAGTTATGATAAAAATGATGAGGTGTGTAAAGTAACAGGTACAGGTATGTATAGCTGGTGATAAAATACACACACTGTATCTACATTAATGTATAAGTACATATGCTGTAGATGTACATATAAAGGGTGATAAAATACATACACTATGTATGCATTATGTAAAGTGTGAGAGAGGAAGTGTTGATAGTGTCAGTTAAAGGGAAATGTGTTATTACTGGGTAATCAAAGCTAGAGTACTTACTATGAAACAATGCTACTACTAAACTAATAATAATAATAATACTATTATGATAATAATTATTATATAGTGGAGACATAGGCATTGGCGGTGTCTGTTACCATCCCATCTGTGGACTGAATGGGCAGGCTTAATTTATGTAGCTTTAAATGATATAATGGCATATGCTGTCTTAATTAAATTTGTAATAATACTATAAAGCACTTGTACTGTAACAGCTTAATGCATGTAAATTCCACAAATTTTGCAGATTGAAAAGTTGAATCTCAGTATCCAACGTTAAATCATCACGGAATATAGAGCAAAAATTGCTTTTCTTCATAATGTACATGTACATGCACGTATGAGAAGGAAGTTTAGATCATATAATATATCATTGATTAGTCCACTACGAAACTTGATTTCATGAAACATCTTTCATACAGGAGTCGATCAATAAAGCCTGAAACATGTTTCATATTCATACAGTATAGAAGATGATTAATCTTTATTAATCTTTCTTTATCACTCACACGTATTCTAGCTGTTTCACTTCAAGTTACATGTACGTGTACTTTTATTGTGCCATTGTAATGGACTTTTCTTTGTTCTTTTATTATAATGAAATAATATATAATATAATTACATTCACAGCTTAATACCTGTACATGTTATACATATAAGGTGTACATGCCCTAAAAAGCTGTTAAAATCCACACTACTACACTTCAAAGTGGAGCTGTTATCATTGCTACAGATATTGTCATAACCATCAGGCTGACTATATCATCTTCCTGTCCTGGAATAGAGGAGGCCAGTTTTCTTGAGAAAGAATCACCCAGAATTATAAGAAGCATTTAAATTAAATTGTTCATAATATATATTTTAGCCCAAGTTCATTATCTCAGACGGTAAGTTATGGTAAGTATAAGTTATATGTACAGTACACGTAATGAAAGGACAGGATCCGTTCTACTCTGATGTCATACCCAGCACACTGTCTATATAGCTACACTACATATGTACATGTACATACATCATACTGTCAAATATACATGTACATGTAAAGCATCTATACTCAACATATTCATTTTACATTGTGTACATGTACATGCATGAAGATTGATTTATACATGTACATTATATGCATAAAAAAAGGTCAAAATTCAACAATAGATTCAACAATCACTTGATTAGAAAACGAGTAATTTAGCCTAAAGAGCCCACTAATACATGTACGTCATGGTCTGTTAAACCATACCACATCTTCCCCCTACAGTCTACCCCCCCTATTGGTCTACTGGTAGAGGTTATGGTGGATAGTGTTACAAGGTCACATAGTAATGTACATGGACTTGTACAGGGTCTGCTGGGCATGTTATTGAAAATATGTCAGTTCCGCATTAATACAAACACAACCCACACTTATATGTACTGTAGGTGTATGCATGGGACCCTAGCAGCCTCTGGATTAATAACATGGACTCATCATATAAGTATGCATTTACTAATCCCCAAAAATAATAAAAATAATAATGACACAATACAAATGACCATAAATGAGACTCACATGTCATTAAACTACTGTATACTATCATACACACTGTATGTAATATGATAGCACATATATTGTATGTAGATATATCAGTGTATGTACATATACAATGGTGTTTAGAGTTTACATGTACACATGTACATGTATACAGGAATTGTTGTCCTACCCTTTCGTGTGGTTCAGCTGATCCTCCAGTTCTCGGTAAGCTCCAGGATACGAGTGAAGGACATAATCGATCTAATGAAGAGGAGGAAGGAAGAGGAAAGAGAGAGGAGGAGAGACGGAAGAAGAACCAAATCAAAGAACTGACGGGTAATGCCAGCAGTTCACATTAAGGACTTCTGGTAATGTAGGGGATAGAGAGACGGGAAGGCATGATTAGAGAAAACTACATCAATCCAACGGGTATTTTTTGAGGGACTGGAATTTGGTGATCTATTAATTTTATACTAATTTATACTATATAGTGGGTATTTAATTTGGGAAGCCTGTGGTAATTCATGTGAGTGAATAATTATACAATGATTCAGAATCCTGACTTCTATTTTGCAATGACTCTTACATAGTTCTAAATTCAACAAATTTACATGTACAGTGAATATCCCTTCAAAGTTGGAAGCTATAGTACACTAGTACAGTCAAACCTGTCTATTCCGGACATCTTGGGACCAAATAAAACTGTCCTTATTAAAGAGGTGTCCTTATTTCAGAGGTTCATTAATACACATTTATATTGCATTGGGACTGACACTACCTGTCCTCATTATAGAGGTGTCCTTATTTTAAACTAGCTGTCCACAATAGCAGGTTTGACTGTATACATGTACATGTATTTTATACAGTACATGTACATGTACATTATGTATTATAATTATGCAGTACATGAAGGAAGGAGCTCATAAGAGAAAGAAAGAAAGAATAAAAGAGAGGGGTGACAAATGAAGACTTATGTGTGAAGTAATTAGAGACAGGAAGGGAGTAAGAAAACAAAGGTTAGTGAACCAGACACAACCATTATACCACTAGCTGTTGTCATAGTGACAGCTTTACTCCAGCTACTATGTCCTCTAGGTCAGGAATCACTGCTATACCAGCAATAATTAGAAAAGAATGAATAACTTAATAATAAAACTGATATTGTATAAATATATGCATCTGTTGTGCTCTGCTCATGTTTTCAGATGGAAATCCGTCACACAGAGATTTGTGTACATACAGACGTGATTGCGTATACAAACAAAGCTACAAGGTACATGTACATGTACATATAATGTGGATATATTGATTTATATTATAATAAAGGGTAAAAGTATATAAACAAAGTTATATGTGCATAAAGCATATGCTGTGCATGCTTGAATGAATAAACAAATGGAGTCCGTGTTTCTTTACAAAAAATGTACATTTTAAGAATTGTTGAAATGAGCTGACAAGGACTACCATACGTGTACATGGCATTTGGAGCAACTTTAAAAATTTGTAAAAAATCCCAAATTTGATTGGAATCCGCTCAAAGTTGATACACAGCTTAAGAACATGTAGATGTATATGTATCAGAAAAAAAATTTTAATGGAGAATTCTCTTCTCAGGATTTTGTTAAAATACACTGTACTATATACATGTATGCTTTAAGTGCCACACTACCAGTACATTTACATTTATTCTTATAGTCAAAGCATTTTAAAGCACTCAATCACATGTGCATGTATTTGTCATTAATTATATTAGTATCTGTGGCTCCAAACCTGATATAGTGATATCAATACTATTAAGGTGTGTATTATCATTATTACTCACTAGTGCTCCAGAGGCACTCTGGCCTCCTTCATTGAGGTACAGTCCTGGTATCATTGCAGAGTAATATGGACCCCAAACACCAGGGACCAGTAATGGAGTATCTGAGGACTGGAGAGACAGAGAGAGACAGAGAGACAGAGACAGACAGAGACAGACAGAGACAGACAGAGAGAGAGAGGGAGAGGGAGAGAGAGAGGGAGAGAGAGAGGGAGAGAGAGAGAGAGAGAGAGAGAGAGGGAGAGAGAGAGATAAGTTACTGTAAAAACAACAAAGAAATCGTACAAAGCAATCTGAAACATTAAGCAATCCCAACAGACACACACACGTACATACACACATGTAAACACTCAGCACACTAAAGATCCCCCTCTATGCCCCATTTCATTCAATTAATAACTTAGCAACATTACATCACCAACAGGGACTGTAAACCACCCACGCATTTGATTAAAAACCCAATACATGTACATGTACATGTACTTATGCATGTGCTTATAACATGTGACTCCTGAGTTCCAGCAATTGAGAAAACACATGAACATGTACAAATAAGGATTAAAAAATAAATATTTTGCCATGTCATAGTTTTAATAAATAATAGCAGCTACATGTAAGTACTACAGTACATGTACATTCATTCATCATGTACATGTACTAAAGGGAAAATTGCAAAATCCCAAACAATCTTTATCATACTTCCTTTAAAAACAGAGACATGCATAACTTGCCCATACATTATCATACAGTACCTGCATATGTCTATATGCATTTAATACAGTGACATATGAAGCTGTATATATACTAAAGGTGTATATATATATATAAAAGTGTATAAAAATACAGTAATATAAAGATGTATAATAATACATTGCTATATAAAGGTGTATAAAATCAAGAGTGTGTGTGAGAGAGAGTATGTCTTGTGACTTTCACTGTGTGTCTCAATGGAGAACAACAACTTCACCTTGTTTACATAAACTGAATATCAGTAGGTTGATGCAATATCATCATTAGTTCTTATAATCTCCCTCTCCTCCCACCTAATTAACATATATATACTGCCACATGTACAGTTACATGTACAACTACATCTCTCTCTCTTTTCCCCCACCACTCTCTCCTTCCCTCCTCCTACATTTACATACATTAATTCACGTAGCTCAAGTACATGTGCATGCATTAATAAATGTAGTTCATGTACATGTACTGTACATTTATACTTAACTTTGTCCTTGCAGAAGTACATGTACATGTACTACATGTGTACCTCTCTCTTAATAGCCCACTCATATTGCATACATATACATACATGTAAGTTACTTATTGTTCTTTTATGGTGTACATGTACATGTACTTAACACTGCTATAATAGTCCGTGCTTATATATATAAAATACATGTACATGTACATGTATTATGTATGTGCATTTCTCTCATAATAGCCCTCTCATATTGAATACATAATGTTACTTATTGTTCTTTTATGCTGTATATGTACAAGGAATTAACACTGCTATAACAGTCTGTGTTTTTATACATAAAAACATGTACATGTACACTGCATGAGACAAAGAGAGAGAGAGAGAGACCCAAACACAAAGGGAGAGCCTCCGGTGTTTATATGGCCTGAGAGAATAAAGGATGATACATTAATTATGTAATACACTTTAGTATATATTCATTCCCAGATGAAACAAACCACACAATTACAACAATCAGTACAACCAGCCCAGTGATATCAGAGAGGACTAATGAGAGCGAATGGCCTCTTGATATAATTATCATTCCTGAGGTATCCTAAACCTATATTATACATATCAATATAGCCTCATATATACCGGTACATCAATATAGCTTCATAAATACATCAATATAGCCTCACATATATAGATCAATATAGGCCTCATCCACCACACTAATATACATGTACATTTCTACAGTGTACACTCGATATAGGCTCAATCAATACATGCTAATACCGTATAGCAGGAAATTTTGAAGGGAGTACAATTTGGCAAATTGCTAAATTTTAGGTGCAAAACGGCAAATTTTTATTTTGATGAATTGCTATCAAAATGCCCATTCACCAAATTTAATTCCCTCCAAAATTTCCCACTATACGGTATGTATGTACAATGTACAGTCAATATAGGCTCATTCACAACATGCTAATATACATACATGTATGTAGACTCAACCAGTATTGCATGTATATTGTATACCATTTATTTATAGAGTGGATCATTAATGTACACTGTATTGCTAAGGAACTCTCACTGGGAAATTATTGAGCTAGTACAATTGATCTTATGAAAGTGAACTTATATACAAGTGATGCACTTTTAAATAACACTTACAAGAAAGGTTATTATAACCATACGATTCACATTATACATGAATTAATTCCCTCTACCATATGCTACAGTTCACTGTACATAACATCAAATAACATGAAGTGTGTGTTCTGTATATCTAATGCATATTGACATATGCTACATAAATGTATTACAATATTCTTTAGTATTAATAATATATTCATAAAGACCAGTTAATTTGATAAATACAACAAACATGTAGTTTAAGTAGTTAGAAAGGAAGAAAGAGACGGAGAGAAAGAGAGACAAAGACAAAGAGGGGGAGAAGGAGAGAGAAATAAGGACAAGCAGTGAATAACAGTAAAAGTTATTCTATAGATATTTGAGTCAGACATAGACATACTATGCTCACCTCTCTTAATGCACAAGTGAGACACAGACAACACACACACACACACACACACACACACACACACACACACACACACACACACACACACACACACACACACACACAGGGCTATAGCTATTATCATCATGAAGGATTCAATGATGTCACTATAGACACACTGTGATGCCAAGACAAGTGATGACAAATGACATCATAACTCATAGTACACTATAGACTATTAAGGTTAAAGTAGTGTAGGTATAGTCTAGTGTCACTGTGTTACAATTAAGGTGTGATGCAGATAGGTATGTACATTGAGTATGTCACAATGATAATAAGTTTAGTCTAAGCCTGAATTCCTGGCATGACTTTAGTTCCTAAAGTAAGTATTTATAAAAATGTGCATGATATTTATAAAAATGTGCATGACATTTATCATAACTATCTAATTGTACAGTAATTGTTATCTGGTTAAAAAATCAAATATGTACATGTAGGTCTGAAAGGGACAATTTAGGGCAAAATAAATGATGACAGTATCAAGTAATTATATGCATCAATAATTTTCTGTCATTATGATGCTAGCAAACATTGGCAATTGTATAGTCTATACTTTAGATTAATTGTGTAAAGTATAACCATATAAAGTTAGTAGGTTACATTAATCTTTCTTTATTAATTTTTAAAAATATTTTGTTCACATACAATAATGGACTGTAAAATTAGGAGGGGGAACATCACTCCCTGTTGTAAGGATTAGTACAAAAAAGTACTGGTTTCTTAAAATTTTCAACATTTTCCAGGACAAATTTTATCATTGGTCTACATGTACATTATTAATACTTAATATTCTATTGCCAATATTAGTATGTGTATAAAATACATGTGATATTAATCTTTGTCTTATCAATTTAGAAAATAATGTTGCTTGTATACAATAATGGTATAAAAGGGAGTGCTAAAATAAGGAGGGGGAGCATCAATATTAACATGTGATCATAGTAGAGCCATCATTCTATTGCCAATAGTATACATCTAAGTGTTGTTGTTATTATTATTTTTTTATAATATCTATTTTTTGCTTTATTACTATACAAATTAAATTACAACGTGCGGTAAAATTCGATAGTATATTTCCAAATCCATTTATGCGTGTGTAGAGTATTTTAATATAAGACAACTATGGGAAGATACACTTACTGTACTTCCAATTAGGAGAGGAAGTCTTGGACCAACTAATGGGATCATTCACTGAGGAATGCAGCATATGTAATATACAGTACATATACTGGAGATATTAATAATGTAGCTGCATGTACTACAGGCAATGCTTAACCTGAGACCAACTGGCTTGAGGTTTTACTAGGAATTACAACCGGCATTAGTTTATATTAAGGAAGGGAAGGGAAAAGGTTATTTGATACGCATGTGTGTATGCATGTGCTGTACGTATTATTGATACACACATACATGTACATGTATTACATGTAAACACAATACACATACAATGTATAGCTAAATATGTACATGTACATATGCTGTACGTATCACGGTTCTGAGAAAGGAGAGAGAGGGAGGGGGAGAAGAAAAAATTAGTATACACCCACATGTACATGTACACGTGTATAATGGAGAGATACATGTACACAGAAGTAGAGGGACAACAATAATATAGAGAGAAAAGGTAGGGAAGGATGTACATGTGTGTGTATGCACTTGTAGGTAAACAAAAGGTAGAGATAATTTTCAGATAAACCAATACTGAAAACATACATGTACATGTACTACCGTAGAATGTATGAACAAATAATAAATAATTACAGTATTATTAACGTGTACATGTACATGCATGTACATATGTACATATGTATATGTATATGTATATGTATATGGTCATTCATTGAATTGTCAAGACTTTTATAGCTAGGGGTCACTGAGACTTAGCATATACTGTACATGTACATGTATAAAATAAAAGGAAATGATTATACTCACAACTTTCCATTAATTACAACATGTACACTAGATTTACATACATGTACATGTACGGCATGAAAAGTGACATGTAATTGTACATCTATAATTTCATTAGCGCACTTCATGTACATGTAGATCAGTTTCAGTGTCAACTCCAATTAAAATCAAATTAATATCAATTACTAAATATTTGGTACAGTAGCAACACAACATATTAAAGCTATACACTGCAACTATACAATTATCATGTTCCCAATCAGCATACAGACTGCTACAAACATTTCCTATTGTGACTGGTGTTCTTATGCTTCCAAGAATGATCCTGTAGCAGACACTAAGAATACAATAAAAAGACATTGAGCACTTTCCTCTCTCAATACCTCCTTCTACATACTAAGTACATAATTACACCAATATTTGTAAGCATTACTATTACTATTACTATTACTATTACCCCATGTCTGATATATATATATATAATATATATAGGATTAAAAATAAATAATAAAAGACAATGGACTAACACCCACTCAGACACAGACTCCAGACTGAGACAATCAGACACAGACAATAACACAGACAGGCACTAATGAATACATACACTTGATACACTGATAGAGAATACACCTTCAGACATACATAGATACGCATTGATATACACTTAGCAAGGTATTAGGTATTAAGTTTCCTTGACTAAGTACTGTATGTGTATATTCACCTTTCCTTCTGTCACCTTTTCTCTCCTTTCTCCTCTCTAATTCTTAACTTTTATTATATACATGTACATGTACATGTATATTTATTATGAACATAAATTATGTGTGTATATACATAGATATATACATGCACCAAGGCATTCAATTTTTCCCCCTCTGTCTTAACCAGAGTATGTGTATTTTTCCACCTCTCCTTGTGCCAACTTTTCTTTCCTTTCTCCCTCTTTATTTTTACATGTACATGTACATGTACACGTAGCGTGAATCCCTATCTCTCTTCTTATTACTACCTCTAGCTCTTTGTACTATGTGCATAATGTATGGGTATAGTGACAATTCAGTGAGAAGAGTGGATACTTAAAAATTTTTACTCAGTTCTTTTGCAATGTGGCATTAAAAAAAATGACATACCCCTGTACATTTTTCTTGTACTCCCCTTTGCTTTAATTCCCTCTACAAATTTCCAAAATACATGTATATACACTTCTCTCTCTCTCACTTTCCCTATACAATATACACATGCAGTAACACATCTACATGTACATGTACATGTAGATGTAGAATGTATAACAACTAATATTAATATAAATACGATAAAATACTTAAAAAGATACTTATAGCTAGCAATTGTAGAAAGTAGCAAAAAACACTCCCAGTGCTGATCGTCTTTCTCAATAAAATGCCCAATCATAAAGGGTAGTAAACGAATGAGAGTCATCATTTGTGAAGCTTATTAGAAATAAATGGTCAACAATAGAGGATGCAATAGAGGAATTATTATACCATATAAATATACTATAAAATATAACATAATACTTATTTATATAAATGGCTATATACATGATATTGAGAGTGTGGTATCACAGAATGTAGGCAGGTTAGACACTCTCCCTAAATAATTATGATCCACTCTTGATGATATGTACAGTACATGTACATTTACAATGAAAGAATGCTTGTAAGTGGAGAGTATAAGACTGAGTTATAAAGTACATAAAACAGCTAGTTACAATTGCATAATGTGAACAGGTTTGTTCACAGTTATGCCGTGTATCTAAAACATCCTCTAATATATTCACACACACACACACACACACACACACACACACACACGTACACGTACTAAATATGTAGACAGACACATTCCATTGGAGTCTACATACAGCGAATGACGTGCAATCATTAATTGCAATGAGTCATTCTGATGCTATCATACACACACTCACCTACTCACGTAACAAAAACTGGAAATGGAATACAAATACAACACCATACAGTAGTAAACCAATAGTAAATAAAAATACTATACACCATACAAGTGTACATATACATGTACATACATGTACATGTATAGTAAATGTACATGGGCACATAATAGCAATACATGTAATATGTCCAATGTATAGTATTACAGTAATTCCTAATCCAATTAAGCTCTTATAATTGGATTACTTATAAATGGTCCAGTATGTGTGTGTGTGTGTGTGTGTGTAGTAGATGTACATGTAGGTGTGATGAGTTATGATGCTATTAAGTGTCACTGGATACGTCAAAGAGTGTCATTTCACAGGTAATTGGACTGTGCTAAGAGCATCAGCATCCTGGCAATTGATACCGTATAGTTGGATCAAGTATATAGTGGATGATACAGTACATGTACATAGAGACTGCTTTTAATACTGGAGGAGAAAGGAAAGGGAAATTAGAGAGAAGAAGTACAAGGTCTCCTTCAATCCTCTACATAGGTCTAGTACCAGCAGCATAGCAGACACCATATCTTTTACACTATACACTGTCCTTTCTCTTGGTGTACTTGTACATGTAATAAAGGAGAAGTTTATACAGAAGCAGGTCTGTACATGTACATGTGCATGACAAACTAAAATGTCCATATATGTACATGTACATGTACATTTAGATAAAAGAAAGAACAATAGGAGAAGTTTTGAGAACGCTAGAGGAAGGGAGACATGCGAATGTACAAACACAAACCAATAATGATAATGAGGGAAGGACTGGAACCAAAAACAAATCAAGAACAACAAGACAGGATGTCTCCGGATAACATAAACAATATCTATAATAAACTATTTCCCAAGACAGTAAGGCCTTCCTCCCCTCATTATAAATACAGTTTCAGTCTACATGCATGTACATGTACATGTACATGTGCATGCATACATCATTCTCTCACTCTTCAATACATTCCCAATAATAACAATAATGAGAACTGGCCAATCAGATTAAGACACACGCTGTCAATGGAATGGCTAACATGAACTAAGGGGAGATAATAGCCACTGAAAATAATGAGGATATGTTGGGGTTTAGAAAAATGCATGTGTACATATGTACAATGTAGATGGATAT